GCCTACTGGGCTCTATCATATCTACATTTAAAACTGTGTATGGAATCCGCCTCTACCACATCTCTGCCTAATGCATTCCACCTGTTAACTACTCTGACACTGAAAAAGTTTACATTCATCAATTTTAACATGCTGTTCATTCAAGCTAAGAGTTTTCGCAGATACAAATTAATAGTTATATATTAGCATAAATAGGCATAGGTTAGGTTAGGTGTTTAGGTTCTGTTGGCGATTATTTGTATTTGTAGTACGTGGGTGAAGCATTTACAGCGTTGTGGTTCGAACAAAATTCGTCAGTGAAGCACTTGTTCCGGAAGTGTTCGATCGTCATCAGTTGCAGCCCGTCCTCCAAGCAAAGATCCAAAAGTGATTCCATGCACCCACCAAACCCCCTGTTTATGAATGAAAAGCGGTTTACACTCGACTCACAACTGCTGACGTTCGAACACTTCCGGAACAAGTGCTTCACTGACGAATTTTGTTCGAATCACAACGCTGTAAATGCTTCACCCACGTACTACAAATACAAATAATCGCCAACAGAACCTAAACACCTAACCTAACCTATCCTATGCCTATATATACACAATATGCTAATATATTATAATATTAATTTATACTTGAGAAAATTCCCGTTTTGAATGAACAGCATGTTAAAATTTATGAATGCGTCTGTGGGGTCGACCGCTGGATGTAATGGACTTGAGTCGAGGACGGGTTGCGGGTTGTCAGCTGAGTCGTTTGTAAACCGTTTTTCATTCGTAAACACCTGGGGGTTTGGCGGGTGCATGGAATCACTTTTGGGTCTTTGTTTAGAGGACGGGCTGCGGATGTAATGGACTTGAGTCGAGGACGGGTTGGGGTTGCCATGCACCCGCCAAACCCCCAGGTGTTTATGAATGAAAAACGGTTAACACACGACTTGCAACTGATGACGTCCGAACACTAATAAAATTTATTAATGCGTCTTTGGGGGTCGACCTCTGGATGGAATGGACTTCCATCCAGCGGACGGGTTGCCTTGTGGACTGGTCTGAGGACGGGTTGTCTTGTTACTCCATGGCTTTTTCTCAGGTAGAAAATTAACTAATCAAATAGCTAACGTGTTGGAAGGATGTGTTAGGGGAGCAACAACAGGTGTATTGAACAACTTTATCTTTGACACAATGTTTTGGACCTATTCACCGTTATATAGAAGTTAAAGAAAACTTCAAGTATATAGAGTTAAAGAAGACGCCTAAATATACCCAATTAAGTCATCTACACAGCCAACTTAACCGAAACAGATGGTACTTAAGGAAGCCATTACCGTAAAGCATCGTTTAACTGCTGTAAACTATGAGTTACCTCAAGATAACTTGTACTACCAGGTAAACTCAAGTAGATGACTCGTAGGGGGGTCACCAGCGCAAAAATGAGGGCCTGGGCAACACCGCTACCAGGACCCCTTGTACGGCCTCTACCAGGCAACTGCTGGCTATTAGGCGCCATTTAAAGGCTGGTACACGGAGCAGCAATCGGTGGCGGTACGGGACGGGCCCGAGAGAAGGGTTGTGTACCCTGGCGCAGCTTCGCCGGACGGTTAAGGTTCGCTCTCTCTGTCATCAGTGTGATCGCTTGTAATGATATGGACTACGGCCTCCGCCTGTTCATTAGTCCCGTTGATTAACGAGGGTGGCGCTGCGGAGCTGGTCACCCCGGAGGAAACCCCTGAGGTCACCCCCGAGGTCATCCCCGAGGTCACCCCCGAGGACACCCCCGAGGACACCCCCGAGGTCACCCCCGAGGACACCCCCGAGGTCACCCCCGAGGACACCCCCGAGGTCACCCCCGAGGTCAACACCGTACTCGTGATCTGCAGAAAGTTTACCACGATAATCAGATGACCTGAGGGAGGCGCAGAGGTCCCGCAGGGGATGACTCCACTGCTGAAAATGCTAACAGATTTTCCTGTGCCCATAAACGAAGCACATATTTACAGTATCAAAAACGTGATTTACATTCCCCGTAGCTTTCTTGGGGGTAGGAGATACGACCCGAGACTATATAAGGCAACCCATTTTCCACAACCCTCCTAACGCAGTGGTACAGAGTGTAGCAAAACAATTTACCGGACAGTGAAATTACACAATAAATGGCGCGACTGTACAAGACTGACCAGTGAGTGACTTTGTACATATAGAGGGTCACCTGAGCCGATAATAGTAAGATATTTCTTTGCGTTTCTCAAGACACAGACGCCTCCCCAAGAGCACCTTCAAGGCAGGACCCTGGAAACACAAACCGAAACTGTCTCTATTTTCCGCTTGTTACAACTTGTAATAAAGTTGTTACATCTTGGCTTAACAAGTTTATGACGTATTTGAACGTTGTTACAACTTGCTATATTGGTTGTTATAACTGGTTAGGAGGTGTTAAAACTTGTTCGAACGTTGTACCAACGTCGTAGTTTCGGTGTGTGTTTGGCGGGGACGCCTCCCCCATGAGCACCTTCAGGGCAGGACGCCTCCCCCAAGAGCACCTTCAGGGCAGGACGCTTCCCCCAAGAGCACCTTCAGGGCAGGACACCTCCCCCAAGAGCACCTTCAAGGCAGGACGCCTCCCCCATGAGCACCTTCAGGGCAGGACGCCTCCCCCCAGAGCACCTTCAGGGCAGGACGCTTCCCCCAAGAGCACCTTCAGGGCAGGACACCTCCCCCAAGAGCACCTTCAAGGCAGGACGCCTCCCCCAAGAGCACCTTGAGGGCAGGATCCGACGCCTCCCCAAGAGCACATTCAGGGCAGGAGACATATACCCGTCGACTCCCTTAGCAAAGATAACACTGTGTTATGGTGGAGGCTGACTCCATACACAGTTTCTACTAGATATGATAGAGTCCAATAGGTTCAGGAACCTGTACACCAGTTGATTGACAGTTGAGAGGCGGGACCAAAGAGCCAGAGCTCAACCCCCGCAAACACAACTAGGCGAGTACTGAATGTCTACCGCTGTAACTACTGCACACTATAAGCTTCACAATAGAGCCCGTGGCCTCTACAACCACAACTTTCAACAGTTGAGAAATGATTCTGATTTACACCCCCGTTATTACAACACTGTCTACAGAACATCATTTAGTGTAATAACTATTCTGAATGAATTATGAAACACCTGGATCTGCCATACCTGGAAACACAAACAAACTGTCTCCATTTTCCGCTTGTTACAACTTGTAATAAAGTTGTTACATCTTGGCTTAACGTGTTTATGACGTGTTAGAACGTTGTTACAACTTGCTATATTGGTTGTTATAACTGGTTAGAAGGTGTTAAAACTAGTTCGAACGTTGTACCAACGTCGTAGTTTCGGTGTGTTTTTGGCGGGATGGGGCCTGACAGCTGATTGGACCACGCTTCGGATTCGTAGTCCTGAGGTTCCGGGTTCGATCCCCGATGGAGGCGGAGACAAATGGGCAAAACGCTTCTTTCACCCTGATACTCCTGTTCATCTAGCAGTAAATAGGTACCTGGGAGTTAGACAGCTGCTACAGACTGCTTCCTGGGGAAGTGTAACAAAAAGGAGGCCTGGTCGAGGACCGGGCCGCGGGGACCCTAAGCCCCGCTAAAAAAAAAAGCATATATGTCACTATCCTGGGGGGTGAGTACATGTCACCATCCTGGGTGTGAGTACATGTCACCATCCTGGGTGTGAGTACATGTCACCATCCTGGGTGTGAGTACATGTCACCATCCGGGGGGGGGGGGTGAGAGTACATGTCACCATCCTGGGGGATAGAGTACATGTCACCATCCTGGGTGTGAGTACATGTCACCATCCTGGGGGTAAACAATGACGGTGAAGCACAGCTGACCCGACGTAAACAATGACGGTGAAGCACAGCTGACCCGACGTAAACAATGACGGTGAAGCACAGCTGACCCGACGTAAACAATGACGGTGAAGCACAACTGACCCGACGTAAACAATGACAGTGAAGCACAGCTGACCTCACCGCACCTCGGCCAGGACAACCACCCACCAACGTCGGCCAAGGAGGCCAAGACATCAACACGTCTCCTCCTCCTCGCCAACATTCTGAAGGAACTCTATTAAACCTCTGCAGCCACTCGCAAGATTGCGTGCACGGCTCTCGTAAACAACAATCCAAATTCCCACTCAATATTCATCACAGCAAAACAGAGACGAGCCAATCACAGTAAGTGTTGAAGGAGGCCCCCAGAGAGTGCAGGGAAGGTGCACTCGCGAGGAGAGTGCCACCACTCACATGAGTGCAGCCAGACCTCCAGAAATTAGGTTAGCGTCTCAGGAAAACAAAATTCCTTATAGCCCCGAATGATCATTCACTCAGCAAATCCGAGCTGGGAAGTGCTGCTGGGTACCTTGTCGCCACGCTGAGGTGCCGCCGCTCAGGGTACCCGCATGTGGGTACCCTGTGCGGCATGGGCAGGCAGGTGGGTGTTGGTGACACACCCACCTATATCATGATGTTATAAGCCGCATATGTATTCATCTCTTTTTACTGCAAGATCCTTGGTGGATGGGGGAGGGGAGGGGATGGAGGGGGGTTGGGGGGCCGGGTGAGGTGTGAGTGTGTCGCGAGAGATCCAACTGCTCCGTCTTGCCCTCATAATTCAAGCCTCTCAGTTCAGGGACCAAACTTGATGAAAACCTCCGGACTTTATTATTTCTTTGTGCTGGCAGTGGTAAATATAAATGGCGGCAGGAGCAGCAGCAGCAAAAGCAGCAGCAGTAGTAGTAGTAGCAGTCGCAGCAGTAGCATTAGTAGCACCAGAAGCAGCATCAGTAGTAGCAGCAGCAGTAGCAGCAGCAGTAGCAGCAGAAGTAGCAGTAGCAGCAGAAGCAGTAGCAGCAGCAGTAGTAGCATTAGTAGCACCAGAAGCAGCATCAGTAGTAGCAGCAGCAGTAGCAGCAGCAGTAGCAGCAGCACAGCAGAAGCAGCAACAGAAATAGTTGCTATATAATATTAAACAGCGTAGACATGAACCATCAACGTAATCCTGCGCACAACATTCCAGCTTCTTCGTGTGATATAAATTCATATACAAAGGCCCATTACGCCCATTCACACCCAGCAGGACCAGTTACTGTGGGCAGTCAGCCGCAGCCCCAACCACCCGCAGCCCCAACCACCCGCAGCCCCAACCACCCGCAGCACCAACCACCCGCAGCCCCAACCAGCCGCAGCCCCAACCACCCGCAGCCCCAACCACCCGCAGCCCCAACCAGCCGCAGCACCCGCAGCCCAACCACCCGCAGCCCCAACCAGCCGCAGCCCCAACCACCCGCAGCCCCAACCAGCCGCAGCCCCAACCACCCGCAGCCCCAACCAGCCGCAGCCCCTGGCCAAGTGCCAAGCAAATGGTACAACTTTAGCGAGAGTTACACAGAGAGAGACATGACCGGCCTTGTCCAGGTGCTAACACACGAGCAACGGCTCACAACTGCACGCCAAGACCCACAATATACGCAAATCTTTATAGAGGCAGGCGGAGGGTAA